GTGGTTAAGACTCTGCGCTTCCACTTCCGGGGGCATGGTTTTGATCCCTGGTCAGGAAACTAAGATCCTGCATGCTGTGTAGAGTGGCCAGATAAACCACATCAAACAAAATAAAGGAAAATCAAGCAAAGTAGCTATGATATGAAATCTAACCAAATATCACTTATGCAAAAGTATGTGTATCTATTTTCATACTCATACGAAAGGCTCTCTTTTCATTTTTCATTTGTGCTTTTCAGGAGGACCTTTTCCACTTAGGAGGTGTAAATATTCAAGGACATGTCTGATTTGCAGGCAGCTCACTCCTACATTCAATCAGATCCCTGAAAATCAGCTTCCTGATCCAATCGAAGGTTTAGCATCATCTAAATAAAACCACAGAGATATTCCAAGAGGCTGGAAGTACATAAGGGCCATACCTGCTCTCTTTTAAATGTGCCTCTCTTTGAAAGCGGATGTAAACGTCAGTGCCTGGGATGCCGTTTTCTTTCCTCCTCGCCGTCCCCTTCACACCCCTTTGTCTGTCTCACAGGGACTGGAATTCTCTGTATTTCAAACACATTTTGAGCATCCACAGTGTGCCGAGCACTGCCTTGTACATCACCTCAATACTCATGCTTTTCTGGAGATGGGTCAGAAAACGGCAGCCCCAGACCAGTGTCGGGGAGCAGGGGGCAGACGAGGGTGCAGGCGATGCCGTCCTGGTGCGAGCTCAGTCGCTCAGTCCTGTCCGACTCTTTGCGACCTCATGGACTCTCAGCCGCCAGGCTGCTCTGTCCCAGGCAAGAATACTGAAGTGGGTTGCCATTTCCTACGTACAGATGGTGAATCCCCAAGAGGAGGAGGGTTTGGAATCAGATCCCTGTGCAGAGGGAGCACAACTCTATGTAGCTTTCTCTCTCTCTCTGTTTTTTAAAAATATCGATTTATTTATTTAGTGTTGGCTGTGCTGGGTCTTCGTTGCTGTGAGCAGGCGTTCTCTGGTTGCGGTGAGTGCAGGTTACTCTATGCTGTGATTCACGGGCTTCTCATAGTGGTGACTTTTTTTTGTGGAGTCCGGGTTCTACAGCGTGTGCGCTCAGTAGCTGTGGCTCACGGGCTTAGTTGCCCTATGGCACGTGGGATCTTCCCGGGATCTTCCCGGACCAGGGATCAAACCTGTGTCTCCTGCATTGGCAGGCGGACTCTTTACCACTGAGCCAGCAGGGAAACCCTGCCATCTCTTCTTTTATTTTAAAAAATGTGTTGGTGTCAAATATATTTACCAGAAAATTTGCCATGTTAATCATTTTAAGCATACAGGTCAGTTGCATTAAGTACATTCTCTGTGTTGAACAAGGATGACTGCTGTTTTCAAAGCTCTTTCACCACCCTGAGCAGAAACTCTGTAAGCATCCAGGGTAGAGTGCTACCTCAACAGTAGCAGTCACCGAGGGCTGTGTGGACAAGGCTGTGTGTAACCCGGGGCTTCAAAGATGGACAGGATTTCCACAAACAGGGAAGAGGAGAGAGGCAGCCTGGTAGGTGTATAAACGGTGTGATGAGGGATTGTTGTTCAGTCGCTAGGTCATGTCCGACCCTTTGAGACCTCAGGGACTGCAGCACCCCAGGCTTCCCCATCCTTCACCGTCTTCCAGAATTTGCTCCAACTCGTGTCCATTGAGTTAATAATGCCATACAACTGTCTCATCCTCCAGGACTCAGTGGGAGGGAGTTTAATGCCTCTGTGAACCAAGAAGAATCTGTTTTGGGGTAACTCACGCATCTGGGAGAGAAGAGAGGACCCAGCTACAGAGCCAGGACCGCGCTGAGTTGAAAGAGCCTTGAAGCAAAAGGAATTGTCTGGAATCACTGATGTCCGTGGACCTACATGCCCCCCTTACATAGCTTCCCAGGTGGCGCTAGTGGTAAACAGCCCACCTGCCCGTCCGTGCAGGAGACGTAAGAGACGCGGATTCCATCCTGGTCGGGAAGATCCCCTGGAGGAGGGCGTGGCAGCCCCCTCCAGTATTCTTGCCTGGAGAATCCCATGGACAGAGGAGCCTGCTGGGCTGTAGCCCACAGGGTCACAAAGAGTCGGACACGACTGGCGAGACCGAGCACGCATGTGCGCACGCATCTTTGGTGAGCACCGCCTTTCCCCTTTCCAGAGGACTCACTGTTCTCCAGTTGGAGCTGGAATGTGGTCCCCAGAGAGGCTTCAGCTGGAGCAGGTGCCCGAACAACCACGAGGCACACCCCTTCGTCTCCAGCTTTTATTCTGTGGCCTCCACCCTGGTCAAGGCCCTCGTCACCCCGCACCTGGAATGACTGCATCAGCCTCTCATCTGACCTCCCTGCCTCCAGCCTCACCTCTGCGCCAACCCACGGGCAGCCCCACGCCATCTGTTGAGCCCGAAGCAGCATCACCCACAGGGCATTCCTTCACACCAGCGTCTTAGTGCTGGAGCGGGAGGTCTCTCTCCTGCAGTGAGCGTCCCAGAACTCCCCGCAAACAGAGCAACTGCATTTGCCTCACTCATTTGGTTCTTCAACTGTTTTCTCACCATTCATTACACCTCAGGTGTAGCCAGAGTGGTGGCTGATTTGTGCCCCTTCTAAATCCATAAAGTCTTTTTAAAAAATAGATGTTTATCACTAAGTCATGTTCGACTCTTTGCAACTGCAGGGACTGTAGCCCGCCAGGCTCCTCTGTCCATGGGATTCTCCAGGAAAGAATACTGGAGTGGGTGGCCTTTCCCTTCTCCAGGGGATCTTCCCAACCCAGGGATCAAACCCAGGTTTCCCACAGTGCAGGCAGATTCTTTACTGTCTGACTCATCAGGGGAGGCCCTAATGTTAGGTCCATGAATCAAGGTGTATTTGTAAATATATACATATCTTTTAAAAATATTAATGTTTTAAAAAATATTTATTCATTTATTTATTTGGCTGCATTGGGTCTTAGCTGTGGCAAGTGGGATCTTTCAGTTGTAGCATGTGGGATCTAGTTCCCTGACCAGGGATTGAACCCAGGCCCCTGCATTGGGAGTGCAGTGTCTTAGCCACTGGAGCACCAAGGCAGTCCCTGGAACTCACACTTTCTGTGGGAAGGACCACAGGCACCACCTACTAGGACTCCCAGGTTTCAGAAATGCAAAAACAAAGGCCTGTAGGATTTAATGACCCCTAGGGTTGGCTCAGATGGTAAAGCATCTGTCTACAATGCGGGAGACCTGGGTTCGATCCCTGGGTCGGGAAGATCCGCTGGAGAAGGAAATGGCAACCCACTCCAGTACTCTTGCCTAGAAAATCCCATGGACGGAGGAGCCTGGGGTCACAAAGAGTTGGACACGACTGAGCGACTTCACTCACTTTCACTAAGATCATTCCCAGGGATCAGATTTGACCTCTGGATTGGGAAGATGCCCTGGAGGAGGACACGGTAACCCACTGCAGTATTCTTTCCTGGGAAATCCCATGGACCGATGAACCTGGCCTCTGGTTCATGGGGTGGAGAAAGATTTAGACGCGACTGAGTGACTGAAACACACATGTGCTCGCACACACACACGACTTAGCGACTAAACAAGATCATTCCCAAGGTAAATGCTCAAACTAACAGAAGAATTCAAACCTCCAGGATTATCTTAATTCTATCTCAGCGCTGCTGAAATGGAGGGACCACCTGGGGACCACCCCCCCCCAGGTTACACGGGTTCTCTTCTGTCCAGTCATTTTATTAATAAGGAATCAAGAATCAGAACTAAGTGTAACCGTGGAGGTCAGTTGATCTAACCTCATCTTATAGTTGAGAAAACCGAGGGCCAGCATTGCCTGGAAGGGTCCTGCCCGCGATCAAGGTTTCCTGTACCTGAAGTCACACAACGTGCGGCCTTCTGTGTCTGACTGTGTACTCACAGTGTCTCCTTCAGTCCCCCTTACGCCCGCAGTGACGCACACACCCCTTCGCACGGCCTCAGAGCTCCTCCCAGCTGCCCCCCAGGCTCGTGCTCTCCCCTGCTCACCACGCTTCTGTCGTTTGTATCCAGTTTTAGATCCCACTTCTGTTATCACATGGGACTTCTCTTTCTCGAAGTTCCCTTAGTTCGATGATCTCTAGTTCCATCCACGTTGCTGCCTGGCCTCTGTGCTATTGCTTAAACAGCCAGATAACTTTGTTGTCTTAAATTTATTTTTATCATATAGTACATACAACTTATTTTGTCTTAGTTTAACTTAGCTTATTGAAGTATAGTTGGTTTACGATGATTCAGATATACAGCAAAGTGATGCAATTACACCTATAAATACGTATTCATTTTCAGCTTCGTTTCCATCATAGGTGATTTCGAGATTGAGTGCAGTTCCCTGTGCTGTAGGGCAGCTCCTTGCCGTCGATCTGTTTTATACAGTAACGTGTAGCTGTTAATACCAAGCTCCTAATTTACCCTTCTTCCCTCAGCCCTGCCTTTCCTCCTTGGTAACCATAAATCTGTTTTCTGTGTCTATGCATCTTTTTGTTCTGTATATAAGTTCATTTGTATCATTTTTTTAGATTCCACATATAAAGGGTATCAAATGGTACTTGTCTTTGTCTGACTTATTTTGCTTGGTATGATCATCTCTAAGTCCATGGCAAATAGCATTATTTCATTCTTTTTAAGGCTGTTATTCCATTGTGTATATGTGCTACATCTTTTTTTACCCATTCATCTGTCTATGGGCATTTATGTTGTCTTCATATCTTGACTATTGTAAACAGAGCTGCAATAAACATAGGGGTGCATTTTTTAAAAAATTATAGTTTAGTCTGGATATATGCCCAGGAGTGGGATTGCCAGAGCATATGCTGACTTTGGTTTTTTAAGGTACCTCCGGGCTGCTGCCCACAATGGCTGCACCAGTTTGCATTCCCACCAACCAACAACGGTCGACTTTTAACGCATCAGCATATGCCCAAACCTAGCTGACTGCCCTCACTGAGCACACAGTCCTTCGGCATCCTGATTACAGCTGACCTCGCTCCAGGTCGGGAGAGGCCCTCCCTCCGAGAGGGGCAGCTCCGTTCAGCAGTCCATTGGACTAGAGCTTGCTCTGAGACTGTCATGGCTTCTGAGCCGGGAGCCCGGGTCCGGATGCTCCCGCAGTCCTGGTGGAGCTGCAGGGCTCCAGGGGGCCGTGACTCATCACCACATAATTCCAGCCCCAGCTTCCCGGGGAGGCTGGAAGCAGGGAAGGCCCGAGAGGCTGAAGCAGACAGAGGGGAAAGCGGCACACCCAGGGTGGGGCCCTGCGGGGAAGTGCCTGGCCTGACTCACCCCAGGCTTTCTGCAGGGGCAGCCACGCCTTGTGCCCAGGTTTCGAATGCCAGGTGGGGAATGTGCCTGCACCAGGCTCCCTCGATCAAGCTGCAACAGGTCTCCTGAAAAGAGCGTTCCCTTAGTGAATGGAGTCAAAACAGGCTGACCTCTCTGGAAACACAATTTAGTTTCTTTTCTAAATGTTTCCTAAGTGCTCGGGAGACCCAGGTTCAATCCCTGGGTAGGGAAGAGTCCCTGGAGAAGGAAATGGCAACCTGCTCCATTTCCTGGAAATTTTTCCTGGAAAATTCCATGGACAGAGGAGCCTGATAGGCTACAGTCCGTGGGGTTGAAAAGAGTTGGACACGACTGAGCGACTTCACTTGCAGAGACGCCTGAGAGTGTAGAAGAGAGAGAGAAAAAAAAAAAAAGCAGACCTTGACATCAAGGAGGCTGGGAGCTAGAGCGACGGGGAGGTTTTATATGATCCATCCTGGCAACCTAAAGAAACCAAGTTGAGTGCAGAGAAGAGGGGAATGGGTGTGAAGCCTCACAAGTTCCTGCATTGTGGTCAAGATCTTTCCATTGTGTGTACTCATGAGCACAGCTGCTACTGACTTAAGAAGAAAAGCTCTGGAAGGGAAAGGCTTGATATATAATTAATTTTCAAAACCTGAGGGGTGGCTGCTCTTTAAAAAAAAAACCCTCTAAACCTTGAAAGCAAGTGGGACCGGCATGTGGACAGACTAGAACCCTCTTGCCTTGGTGGTGGAGTGTAAAATGATTCAGCCCCTGTGGAAAATAGTTTGGCAGTTCCTCAAAAAATTAAGCACGGAATTACCACATGACCCAGCAATTCCACTGCTGGATATATACTCCAAAAGAAAGCAGGATCTTAAAGAGATGCTTGTACACCCATGATCATAGCAGCATTTTTCACAGTAGCCAAAATGTAGATATATCCCATGTATTAACAGGTGAATGGATAACAACGTGTAGTCTGTACATACAGTGAAATATTTCGTGTGTACTCAATTGCTCAGCTGTGTCCCACTCTTTGAGACCCCCATGGACTGTAGCCTGCCAGGCTCTTCTGTCCGTGGAATTTCTCAGGCAAGAATCCTGGAGTGGTTGCCATTTACTTGTCCAGGGGATCTTCCCGACCCAAGGATCAAACCCCTGTCTTCTGCATTGGCAGGTAGATTCTTTACTGCTTAGCCACCTGGGGAGGCACCATGGAGTATTATTTGCCTTAAAAAGGGAGAATATTCTGACATATGCCACGACATAGATGGGCCTTGAAGACATTCTTTGAAGTGAAATAAGCCAGTCGCAAAAAGATAAATACTGCATGATTCCATTTGTATGAAGTACTCAGGGTAGTCAAATTCATAGAGACAGGAAGTAGAAGGGCTGGGGGAGGGGAAATGGGGAGCTGGTGTTTGGTGGGACAGAGTTTCAGTTTGGGAAGATGAGAAGTTCTGGAGATGATGGCTTCATACCAACGTGAATGTGCTCAATGCCACTGAACTGTACACCTAAGGATGGGTACAACGGGCGATTTTATGATATGTGTACTTTACCATCGTTAATCTATACACACACACCTTGGGGACAAACCTTCAGGATTTGAATCCCTGTTTCAAGGTTTGCCAGAAAGATGAGCTTGGTCAGATTACTCAGCGAGCGTGAGGTTTTTGCCATCTGTGGAATGGGCTGTTTCAAGCTCTGAGTGAGACACTCAGGCGGGGCACTTGGCACAGAGCTTGGCGGACCCTAGAGGCTCAGTAGCAGTGCCTATTGTCCTGTTGAGGCTTCGGGCATCTTGGCCGAAGGTCAGTGAGAAGCTGGCCATGGGCAGTCTCGTTTAACGTGTCCTTTGATCTTGGTCCCCCAAAGAAAACAATACACTCCCACCACATCTATGTACACCTGTGAATACACACACCATGAAGACGCACGTGGAGTACAGACGAGCCAACGTCTCTAGTCAGCGTGTTTATTGCATGTATTCTGTCTTCTCTGCTGATGTATCAGAGTCTTGCTTTACCCTTAGGTACACGTGTGTAAGGCAGAGAGAAGCCTTGCGATTGTGGACCCCATTGGACATTTGTTTTCTAGGAGGAACAGCTGGAGTCGTGTCGGACATGTTAAGGTGCTGTCCGCATAAGTCTCAGAGCGAGGCCTGCAAGAAGGAGCCGGTGTGCAGTTACGGTGGCCGCAAGGGCAGAGCCCCACCCAGCCCCTAGCCCCCAGAATCACACTCTCGGAGCCCCTAAGGCCTTCGTGTGCTCCCTGGTGCCAGTGGAGTGTCTGGGAAGTGCGTCTGCTGGAGGCCCAAGAAAGTCAGGCAAGGAGAAGAGCGGGGAAGATGCTGAGGAGATGCGCCCTATGGGCCCGAGGTCTTTGAGACAGTATTCGGGCTGAAGTATGAACACCTGCATGTGCGATTTTGTAATCCCAGTGACTATTTCTGGGACAGTGGTTCTTACCTGGGCTGGGGGCCTGTTATGTGAAGACTCTCTCCTTCTGCTCTGTACCTCCAGGGGACACGCAGCCAAGTCTGAAGGCATTTTTGTTTGTCACAGCTGGTGTCAGCGGTGAGGGTGACAGGGTGTTGGGGTTCTGGGGGAGGGTGGGGGTAGACCAGTCTGTTGTTGTTCAGTCACTAAGTCGTGTCCGACTCTTGCAACCCCATGGGCTGCAGCACGCCAGGCTCTCCTGTCCTTCATTATCTCCCGGGGTTCGCTGAAACTCATGTCCACTGATGACAAGATGAGAAGTGAAGGTGCTCAGTCATGTCTGACTCCTTTCAACCCGATGGACTGTAGCCTACCGGGCTCCTCTGTCCATGGGAATTTCCAGGCAAGAGTACTGGAGTGGGTTGCCATTTCCTTCTCCAGGGGATCTTCCCCGCCCCCCTCCCCACCCTGGGATTGAACCCAGGGCTCCCGCATTGCAGGCAGACACTTTACCCTCTGAGCCATCAGGGAAGTCCAGGAGAAAGGCCTCACTGGGATTCGAACCCAGGATCTCCTGTTTACCAGACAGGTGCTTTAACCGACGAAGCCAGGAAGCCCCCATTGAGTCGGTGATTCTGTCCAACCGCTTCGTGCTCTGTCATCCCCTTCTCCTCCTGCCCTCCGTCTTTCCCAGCATCAGGGTCTTTTCCAATGGGTCGACTCTTCGCATCAGGTGGCCGAAGGCCTGGGGCCCCAGCTTCAGCATCAGTCTTCCCTGCGAGTATCCCTGGTTGACGAGAGATGCTGCTGAAAACCATACAGATTCTCCACACTACATTGTCAACAGGTCCCAGGTTGGGAAATCCTGCTGCACAACAGCCAGAAGGGATTAAGAGAACCCGTTTCCTAGCTGAGAGGAGGAAAGAGAAGAGCTATTAAAATGGAATGGTTAAAGGGCATTCCATGGCAGATCAGCTGTTAGGACTCTGACCTTTCATTGCTGAGGGCCTGGCTTCCATCCCTGCTGGGGAAACTAACATCCCGCAAGTCAGGAGGTGCAGGCAAAAAAAGAAAAAAAATTCAATGGTTATAGAGGAGGCCCAGAGACAAAGAATGCCTTTTTTATACAATTTGGTGTTTTTAAAAGTTCTCACCTTTTTCTTAACACACACACACACACACACACACACACACACACACTGCTGACCAGAGGCTATGTATTACATTGATTTATCTTTTATTCTGCAATAGAGGTATTAACATTTAAAATTGCATTTGGTTAGGAGGGGAAATTTTCCTTATAAACTATTCAGGGCTTCTTTATTTAGACTTTCATTGTATTAGTCCGAACTTGTTTCTTATCTTGCTCAACCTTCAAAAGAAATTTGTCCAAACATGAAAGCCTTTTAAGCTTCACAGTGAGTTATACCTGGGAAACTGCTTTATAAGCCACAGATTAAAGTGTGAAAAAGGTTCGGAAAAAGATGCGCTAAAACATCCATGGAAAATGATGACAGAATATGAGGCTACCCTCTGGGGTGGGATACGAAGACATGTCTTCACACGTCCCCCCAGACATCACCTTCGACAGAACAAACAGCAAATCAGAGGCAGGTCCTCAGTCTGACTGCCTGGGTTTCTGTGCTGTTGTCAGAAGACAAGCTGGGTGTCGCTGGGCAAGTTACCGAAGTTTTCTGTGCCACTATTTTCACATAAAAAAATAGGGATAACAATAAAGTGTGCCTCAGGACTTCCTTGGAAGTCCAGTGGATAGGACTCCACACTTCCACTGCAGGGGTCGGGGAACTAAGACCCTGCAGGCTGCATGGGGTGTCAAAACAAAGAGCAAAATCCCCCAAAAGCAAAACAAACAAACAAAAAAGCCACAGCAGAATGTGTCTCATAGGGCTGTTGGGTAGATTAAGTGAGACAGCTAACACAGTAATGCGCTGAGCCCAGCGCCATGGCCAGCGCAAGGCCTCTACAAGAGTTAGCTGTTACAGACGGATCTGAAGGCAGGACAATGATACCTTTATGAAGGTTGGAGAACAGAAGTGATTTGCTTTTAAATGTAATCAGTTTTTGATGTCTCTCTGGTTCAAAACAATTCTTAAATTGGTTTTTTTTTTCTAACCCCATTTTATTTTTTAAAATGTAAGTTACTGATTTGGCTGTGCTGGGTCTTCACTGCTTTTGTGTGGGCTTTCTCTGGGTGTGGTGCGAGGGAGCGCCTCTCTAGTTGGGGTGCCCGGGATTCTCACTGCAGGGCCTTCTCTTGTTGCAGAGCGCCGGCTCCAGACCACGGGCTCAGTAGCTGGGCACAGGGGCTGAGTTGCCCCGAGGCATGCGGGATCTTCCGAGGCCAGGGGTCAAACCCACGTCCTCTGCCCCGCCAGGTAGATTCTTAACCAGTGGACCACCAGGGAAGTCCTGTTCCTTTTATTTGACTTGATTTTATTGATGTATAGTTGATTTACAATGTTGTGTTAGCTTCGGGTATATAGCATAGTGATTCAGTTATATATATATATATTATTTTTCAGGTTCTTCTTTCTTAATAGCTATTATAGAATAGTGAGTCTGCTCATTATCTGCTGATATGTAGTGTGTATATGCTCAAGTAGTTTTAAAACTGGGCAAAAGGTAATTAATTTTCTTTCCCTCTCTCAGAAAACAATAAGCCATCGTGATAGTGGCAACAACGAATGCTTACAAAATTAGAAAAGAGGATTCACGAAGAAAGAGCCCGAGAAAGAGTATTTAGATAATTTACTGCAAAAGGAAGTTTAAGAACAGGTTTTGTGTTTATGCAAATTCCAGATGCTCAGTAAACATTTACTGGCAAATAAAGCTAGGAGGTACTTCTTGGAAGAGGAGAAGCAGTACGACAAGGGAAGGCTGGGCAGCGCAGATGAGAGGTCACTGGGTAGGTGAGACGCTGACGGACCACGTCCCGCAGGAGTATTAACGCGCTCCGGCCAGGGTGCTGAGGGAGTGGTTTTCACCCCTGGCTGCACACTGCGGGCATTTTTAAGAATCCTAAATCCCAGACTGATAACATCAGACTCTTGGGGGCTCGAGCCTGGGTAATCTGTATTCTGGAGTCCCTATCAATTCCAACCTGCAGCCACGGCTGGGAGACAATGCTCTAGACATTTTTTTTCTCAGACTTGAATGACATGATAGTTGCCTGTAGATTTTAATTAAAACTTTCATTAAAACTGGTTCAGTGGGGTGTGTGTAAGGGGAGGGAGCAGAGAGAGGAAGCAGGAAGCTATGGTGCCACATTTTAAAGAAATTCCCAGGAGAGGTCCATTCTGCAGTTCTGGGGATCCCATCTGGAGCTGCAAGTCTCCGAGGCTTTGAAAATGAATCCATGTAAACTCAAGTATGTTATCATTCTAAACTGCTTCCATTCTTCTTTGAGAGGAAATTCTTTCCTTCAACAAACGTGTAAAAACCTTGTGTATCTTTGTGCTTTTGGAGGGTGAGTTGTTTACCTTTCATCTTATAACAGATGGCATTTAAGTTAGGAAGAAAAGAAAACCTCCTGATTGTATTGTTTTCTGATGGCAGTGAAATGGGGGTGGATATTGACGGGTATTCAGGTTGGAGAATATTAGGAACAGGAATTTCATTTCAGAAAAGTACAGAATGAAAAATATCTGTGTGAAGCAACAGCAGAGGCTAGAACTTTCAGGAATTAGGCGGAGGCAATGGACAGGGGAGGAGACTGAGTATTTAGGTTTCTTAAAAGGAGTCTGTAGATGGTGCTGAAGATTTGGAGGTATCCGAGGGAAGAACCCTTACATTTGAGGTTTTATTTGGAAACCTCCATTGGCCCCTTTTATTCACGGGGCTTAGCAGGTAAACCAAACACAGAAGCTCAACCGTAGAATTTCTCTAAAATCTCATCCCTGTGTCATTTGCATCTTCTGACTTTCAAACCACATGCTATTTGCATCTGATTTACAAACGTTGAGGCCAACTCAGTCATGTGCCAGTGCCCGGGAAAGCCAGAGTATGAATCTTTCTAAGCGATCTTCCCCTCACATCCCCACATATTTAACATTATCAAACAAATGATGGCTGCCCAGCATGAAGAATGCTTAATTCAGGGACTTGCCTGGTGGTGCAGCAGTTAAGACTTGGCCTTTCAGTGCAGGGGGTTTTATCCCATCCCTGGTCTGGAAGCTAAGATTCCACATGCCTGGCAGCCAAAAAGCTAAAACATGAAAGAAACTATTTTGTAACAAATTCAATAAAGAATTTAAAAATGGTCCACATCAAAAAAAAAAAAAGTGCTTCATTTATCCCCATGTTGTCAGAATTGGCAGCAAATGGATGGATGGCCTAGTTATAGGAGCTTCATGTTCATCGGTCACACGTCTGATACCAACTTTGCTGAGCCTGGCAAGCACATCACCATGACTGCCGAATCCCCAGCTGCTTATGAAAGCACCAGACCTGCTGGATCTTCATAAAGCAGGACAAACCTGCTGTTCCTGACCACGTGCCAACAGGTACAGGAGTGCCTTGGACCATCACTGCCCCAAGCTTGAGAGCAATTACATTTTTAAAAAGGAGGCTGTGTTCCTTTATCTCATGAAAAAAATAATACTTGGATGAGACTTCCCTGACCGTCCAGTGGTTAAGACGTCACCTCCAGTGCAGCGGGTGTGAGTTCAATCCCTGGTCGGGGAGCTAAGATGGCACAGTAAACCTCGTGGCCAAGAAACCAAGACATAAACAGAGGCAATATTGAAGCAAATTCAATAAAGGCTTTATAGGTCCTATTAATGTGGTGACAAGTTCCTTCCCTGCCGTGCATGTTCCAGATGTGGGATTATGCAGCCTAGACAGCTTGGCTAGCCTACTTGTTCGTTTATTCTTGTTCAATAACGTAGAAGGGGAAAATTGTTTTTCTTAGTCATCTTCCCTGATGCTGGGAAAGATTGAGGGCAGAAGGAGAAGAGGGCATCAGAGGATGAGATGGCTGGATGGCATCACCAATGCAATGGACCTGAGCTTGGGCAAACTTTTGGAGATGGTGAGGGATAGGGAGGCCTGCTGCAGTCCATGGGGTCACAGAGTTGGACACAATTGGGCAACTGAACAACAAGTCTTCTCAAATCCGTTCAGGAAAATAGCTCTCCTTGGGTATGAACTCCGACTGGTGGGCTATATTCTCCATGATAACATCCTCGGTTTCTCCCCTACAGTCCACAGCGTCTGGTAAGTTAGTTGTCCTGTTCTCCAGAGCCTTGAGCCCGGATCACTGTTAGACTCAGTCAAGAGTGATTCTGTCTGTGATAGGAATTAGTTAAGGTTGGTAGAATTTGTTCATCCCCATTCTCGAAACATCTTTGGGACTATGGAGATCCCAGGCTTAGGAGGGGTAAGGGCCCTCCAAAAGGGCTACCTGGGCGTTTGTAAAATAAGGTAACATTTGCTTGACTGACTGTATCATCCACCCTCGGGAACTTTTCATGCTAAATGCTCATTATTTCTTAGGCTCGCCCTTCCCTTCTCACCTGTCCATTAACACTAAGCCTCATTAGCCAAGTCTATCAGCAAGCCTTTATTGCCCGTTGTCAGCTCTGGAATTTTAAGAATGGCCATGAGCAGGTCCCTGGAGCTTCCCTGGGAGGTTACTGAGACTAGAGATTCAGGGTTCATGGAGCCCATGAGCAGTGGTTCTCATCTGTGGTGACAGGTTGGAGTCACCAGCTTTTGCGCTGAGGCTGAGCCTCAGACCAGGTGAATCCACACCTGTGAAGACGGGATTCCGGCTTGTAGCTTTTGAAGCTCCGCCGAGTGACTCCAGTGGGTACCCGGCCTGGAGAACCAGAGTCGTGGAGAACTGATTTTCATCTAACTGGCTTCACCTGGGGATATTATTAAAACATTTAAATGCCTAGGCCCCACCCCAGAATGAATGAGTCGGAATCCATGGAAAAGGAGTCCAGGAAATGCCTATGTTTTCCCAGCTCCTTCAGATGACCTGATACAGAGCGTGTGGTGGGAACCACTGCCATCGGCAACCTAGCGAATGAGAAAATCTAGATTTGAACCCGTTTTGGGCTCTTTGGCTTTGCAAGCCATGCATGACTGTAAGATGATGAGGTAGCTCCAGGAGGCCACATGGGGGAACGGACACAGCCCTGGGCTGGGCGGGAAGGACCCTGAAGAACATGACTCACATCTTGCTGTGTGATGTCAGACAAGTTCCAGAACCTCTCTGGTCAGGAGCCCAGATCTGCCTTCCTGTGATTTCTCCCACGCCTTGTGTTTTCAGACTTTCTTTTTTCTTTAATTGATGTCCCATTGGTTTTCATTTGGGATCAGCATATAGCATGATGATCAATTTCTATATGGTTCTTAATATAAGTATTGATACATTATAAGGTGATCTAATTATAATTCTTCCAGTTTTTCTATTGTCTTTCCAGCTTAAAGTTCAGCAATAAATTGTTCTTTAAAAGAGGCTCTTGGGACTTCCCTGATGGTCCAGTGGTTAAGAATCCTCTCTGCAGGGCAGGCGACTTGGGTTCAGTCCCTGGTCGGGAACTAAGATCCCATATGTCACAGAGCAACTTAACCCGAGCACGCCACAAGTAGAGAGTCTGTGGGCCCCAAGGAAAGACCCGCGTGATGCAAGGAAGATCCTGCCTGCCAAATCTGAGACCCAACGCAATCAAAACACACACACACACACACACACAAAACAAAAAGGAGGCTCTCAAAGGACCTTGAGGGCGTTCTGCTAAGTGCAATAAGTCAGACAATATTGTATCATCTGGCTTATCTGTGGGATCTTAAAAACCAAACTCAGAGAAGCAGAGTAGCGTGGTGGTTCCCGGGACTGAGGAGTGGGGGAAATGGGGAGCTTTTACTCTGAGGGTACAAATCCCCGGTACAGGATGAATAAATTCTGGGAATCTCACTGACAGCATGGTGACGACAGGTACCAGTCCTGTATTATAGGTTTATTAGCGACAGAGATGGGATTGTCTCTGGGCAGGCAGTGGGGTGTCCTGTTGTGGAATTCAGATACATTTAACTTGAAAACCTCACCGCTTTTTCATGCACTGATGCAAAGACTTTTAGTGCGGAGTATGAAAAAATGACAAAAAGCCTTTAAGAGGTTTGTTTGTTTGTTTTTTTCCTAAATGGGAATGACTTGTCCCTTCTGCCAATTCTTGGAATTGGAGAAAACAAGGTTGAGGGCGGATGCTGAAAGAGAAGGCTTTGGGAGCTAATGGTTCTTACGGTCCTGCCCCTGCCGCTGGGGGGTGGTGGGGATTAGGAGAGGGGTGGCAGCCACAGTATGCAGGGACCTGAGCCTCCCCGCCCCCCGCCCCATGTTCACACGTGGTCTGCCTTCTTCCTCCAGGAGTGCCGATGGAGAAGGAGAGCGGCGTTTCCTTCTGAGCGAGAACGCGGTGGGGAGGCAGCTCTGTTCTAACTGGCCCCCGCAGCTGAACCAGCAGGTGCTCAGCCCCATAGACACACCCACTGAGCCACTCTCTCAGGTGACCCATGACCTTAATTAATGGCCACTATTCTGTATTCACTGTTTACCAGCAGGTGAATAAGGCCTTTAATCACACCAGAGAAGGAAACAATTAGCAAAGTAGAGGCTAGATGGCTGTGTGACCTGCAGAGCCTAGACGTTTATCTGGCCGATCAGTTTGGGCTCCACAGAAAGTGTAGCTCCACTTTAATAAGGCCGGCCGTGTTCCCTCCTCTCCTCCTGGGGACGCGCCAAACACTTGCCTCATGAAGACGCACTCTACCCTCGACTGTTGGTTTCTAACCACCAGTCACCTTCTTTAGAGAAAATGTATATAGTTTTGAAATTGCTTCTTCTTTTATTGAGATTCAATTGCCAATGAAATAGCCTTGACATTTCTCTGTAGGCATTTTCAGTAAATTTTCGAGTATCATATACATACATTACGCGTGCACACTAAGTCACTCAGTCGTGTCTGACTCTTTGTGACCCCATGGACCGTAGCCCACCAGGCTCCTCGGCCCAAGGGGTTCTCCAGGCAAGAATACTGGAGTGGGTTGCCAAGCCCTTCTCCAAGGGATCTTCCCAACCCAGGGATCAAATCTGCATCTCTTAAGTCTCTTGCATTTGCAAGCAGGTTCTTTACCACTAGCGCCACCTGGGAAGTCCCCATATAAACATCAATACATGCAAATCATGAGTATACAGGTGTATGAATTTTTATGCCCAGGTACACACTGTGTCTCCAGGTTGAGAAATGGAACCTTACCTTCACCTCAGAAAGCCCCTGGTTACTTCCCACCCAAGGTAAGCACTACCACCACTCTCACACCGAACCACTGTGCTGCGCTCAGTCGTGTCCAACTCTCTGCGACCCCGTGGACTGCAGCTCGCCAGGCTCCTCTGTCCATGGGGTTCTCCAGGCAAGAATACTGGAGTGGGCTGCCATGCCCTCCTCCAGGGGATCTTCCCAACCCAGGGATTGAACCAGGGTCTCCTGCACTACAGAAGGATTTTTTTACCAGCTGAGCTACCAGGGAAGCCCACCAAACCACTAGTACGGTCTAATTTTGAACTTTCCCATTTTCACAGTTAACCAGTTTAAACTGGTCCATGGATAGAGCTTCCTTGGTAGTATTTTTATGTCTGCTGTTCTTAGTCGCTCAGTTGTGTCCGACTCTTCTGACTCCATGGGCTGTAGCCCGCCAGGCTCCTCTGTCCATGGGATTCTCCAGGCAAGAATACTGGAGTGGGTTGCCACGCCCTCCTCCAGGAGATCTTCCCAATCCAGGAATAGAACCGAGGTCTCCCACATTATAGGCAGATTCTTTATCATCTGTGCCACCAAGGAAGCCCCCCCCCCGCCGCCTTTTATTTTAATGTCAGCCATCATAATTCTAAAGATGCTATTTTGCTTCAGCATTTCCCACCGGCCTGATGCAAAGCCATGGAGCTCACAGGATGAAGCATCTTTCCCACAGGTGAAGTCAGTCTTTTTGTTTAATCCTTTTTGTCACAGAGGAAGCAAGATGTGCTGTGAACATCTCCAGGCAGCTGGTGCCTTTCATGGATTATTTGTGGGTCAACGTCAAGCCAAATATGTTTGCAAATTTTGTGCACTTGTAGACTATGCATGCGAGTGTGTGCACAAATGCACTGGCATTGAGGGTGCACAAATACCCTTTTTCTGTTTTGATCTCTTGTTTTCCTTTTTCTGTTTTGATCTCTTATTTTCCTTTTTCTGTTCTCAGAAGACCACCTTCTCCACTCCATGCTCTCCTAGCACACAGACCCTCCTCAACAAATCCTACTCTCCAGTATTCATCACCACGTCACACACTGCCTTGAACTGGTTTTACTGTTTATCACACAAAAGGCATAACTTTTATCACACATAAGTTATCACACATAACTTCAGAGGATACCTTTTTCACTTGTGCTTTTGATATAAACACCAGGAAATCCAGACCTGGGAGGGGAAAAACAGATAGTAAAACCAACCATCAGCATGTGTGACTTTTTGATGACCAGCCTGAGGGTCAGGCCTGAGTTTTCCATGAATGAGGGGATCTGTGGTTATGCATTTGTTTGTTGAAGGCACAGGCGCCATGTTTATTAACTCATTCATTCATTTCCTGAGCCCTTTTATGTGCCAGGCTTTGTGTTAGAGGCTGGATTTTCCAAGCAGGAGCTCTGTGCTTTACACCCAGGGAGACCTCGCCATAGATAATGCACCTGACCACAGGTCAGACGATTCTAGGTTCAGCTTCTGGCTGGCTCAAAACCCTTTGCTCTTTCCTGGTAGCTCAGTGGTAAAGCATCTGCCTGCAATGCAAGGAGAGGCAGGAAATGTGGATTCGATCTCTGAGTTGGGAAGATCCCCCGGAGGAGGGCACAGCAACCCACTCCAGCATTCTTGCCTGGGTAATCCCAGGGACAGAGGAGCCTTGTGGGTTACACTCCACAGGGTTGCCAAGAGTCGGACAAGACACAGCACGCACATGTGCACAGACTGACGTGTGATCTACGTCAGGAAATTCGGTGTACAAGAAACTCTTGATTTCCTAAAATAGAATATTGGTGCTTTTAATGATGCCCTGTATGTTATAGCACTCTAAATGCATTTTCGGATAAACATAAGAGTATTGTTCATGTTTCTCTATAATAAATCAGGACAAATTCTGGATTGGTTAGATTGTCATAAATCCAGTCGATTATTACTTTATAAATTAAACCCAATCTCTTTGCTGGTTAATTAACGACAATGCATTATAGTCCTCCAGGGCTTGCCTCCCTGGAGGTAACGGCTGGCTCACACTTGGCCGACCTCCGTCCTTTCAGCTCTACAGCAAGAGTGAGAATCACCCATCGACACCTCCGTGTTGCTGTGAGATTTGAAGTCTCATGTTGGTGGTCCAGTGGTTAAGACTCTGTACTTCCAATGCAGAGGTCGTGGGTTCAATCCCCAGGTAGGGTACTGAGATCCCACATGCTTATGGCTCGGCCAAAACAAAGACAAGATTCTGGTTTAAAAAAAAAAATGAGGTCTCATGTCAGAAGAATACCTAGACCTCTTCAAGGAAGTACTCAGTAAGTGTATGAAAAACATGTTGAATAGTCTCTTCGAGTTGTGCAATACGCTGTCAGTTGTGTGTGTCAAATGATTTCCTGCAGGTCCGTGGCCACAAAGAAGAGTGACAATAAGAGGTTCGCCCAAGGGCGCGGGGTGGAGGGTGATTCTCTTCTTCCAGAGGCACACATCTTGTTGGCAGCTGACCACTGCGTCATTTCCAGCTGACAGAACTCATACCTGTCAGCCTGGCTTCCTCTGAGGCCTGGATCGCAGCGAGGAAAGAGGCAGGCCAAACGAACTCGCTCAATGGGATTTAAGTTCATCTGACGGGACTCACTGCTGGAAATCCCTTTAACGCCTGCGGTAATTATGCTGCGTCGTCTGTGGGCTGAGATACCACGCCCAATCCCGCAAGGCCCCATTTTGTATCCTTGTTGAATACGGAAGAGACATCAGTATCAGAGCTCTGCCCCAAGTTAACATTCCTCCCCATAGAGAATTCTAGACCCAGAAGCGACACGTGCCCCTTTCCAAGGTGCCTTCACCCTGCCCACTCTCAGCTCAGGGTCAGCAAACTCATAGATCAATGCTTTCTAGTCTCTGGGACGGGGATGCGTGAGAAGGAGAGGGCTTCTGTCATGGGTTTTCCAACGTTGTCTGTAGCTGTGTAAATCACGCTTTACATCTATGCATTGTTGTTTAACTGCTCAATCATGTCCGACTCCTTGCAACCCCAGGGAATGTAGCCCACCAGATTCTGCTGTCCATGGGATTTCCTGGCAAGAATACTGGAGTGGGTTGCCATTTCCTTCTCCAGGGGATCTTTCCAACCCAGGGATTGAACCTGGGTCTTCTGCGTCTCCTACATTGGCAGGTGGATTCTTTACCGCTGAGGCCTAGGGAAGCCCACATCTATCTGTACTATTTTTCAAAAGTAGAAAGATGTGACTGGGATTCATAAAACATAAGTTTGTTTCAAAACCTTATTATATGCATGGCAGTGTTTCTCATTATGTACTTCCTCTGTCGGTTGCTAAAAGAAGCATGATTTTGCTTATGTGCAGATTTGCAATTTTTAATAATAAAGTGGTCCTCATAACTTAAAAATTTGGGGGCCACTGTTTGAGAGTGTCAGTAGTCTATGTTTAACTCATGGATGACTTCCTCCAAGCTGCATAAAACATTGAGGTGTCATCATTGCAAAGCTGCTGTCACTGGGATCTTTGAGTCCTTTTCTGTAAAAGTCAAAATATTCTTTTTTTGTGGCACTCTAGCTCAGCAGTTGAAGCATGTGGGCTTAGTTGCTCCACAGCATGTAGGCTCTTAGTTCCCCAACCAGGGATTGAACCCATATCCCCTGCATGGCAAGGGTGATTCTTAACCACTGGACCATGGGGGAAGTCCCCATTGCATTATTCTTAACTGCATCCTTTCCTGACTCCTTCTGTCTAGCTGGGGAAATACAATTTAAGCACGTAAGAGATTAAAAGTTATGAAAATGCAGAGAGAAAACATGCGGTATTTGATCAATTATCAAAGGCTTTGAGCTTAGAGAAAAGAGTGGGAAGAGGGGAAGGAGATAGAAAGAGCTGAGACAGAGTGCCACCCGGGAGTTCGGACATTAGGGCAGGTTTTTATAGACTCTGCTGATTACCATTGGAGTGACCATGATCAGATTGCCTGACCCCGGTGAGCCTCTGTTCTACCGTCAATAAAATCAGGATTATAATACCTCCCTCACAGTGTTATTGTGAAGATGGCTTATGACAATATGTTCTAAATGCTTTGTACTACACCTGGGACATGGTATGTGCAAGCTAAACGGTGGCTATTATTTGTTTTATTGGATTGTCAATCCCATCAGCATTGAAAGGATGACATTTATTTATGCTTCCCCAGAACTCGGCACAAGGCCTGACTCATAATAGGTACTAAAAGAAAATGTTTGCTGAATGAAAGGATGGAAAGATCGTAGGATGAATTTTATTAATGAGCCATGTGAGCTGGGAGGGTCTCATGGAGAAGCGAGACTTAAGGTGACTCGAGCAGGATGCAGAGAGAAGGTGGGTGAGTGTTGCCCTGGGGGGTGGGCAGGAACTGAAGCATAGAAGCAGAGAAGTGCAGCGTGGGTAGAGGGTCTGCAGGTTGTGCAGGGCTCTGGGTGCTGAGGCTGGGGGTGTGCGTCTTGTCTGCTGCCAGCAGGGAGTCAGTGTGATCTCGAGATGGTGAATAAGGTGAGGAGGGAAACTTTCAGAAGGTTAGTCTGGAGCAGGAAACTGATATCCACACCACATGTCCATTCTGAGCAGATGGAATCCCTGACCAGTATAGTCAGTCAGTTTAGTCGCTCAGTCATGTCCAACTCTTTGCGACCCCATGGACTGCAGCATACCAGGTCTCCCTGTCCATCACCAACTCCCGGAGTTTATTGAAACTCTTGTCCATTGATGCCATCCAACCATCTCATCCTCTGTCGTCCCCTTCTCCTCCTGCCTTCAATCTTTCCTAGCATCAGGGTCTTTTCCAATGAGTCAGTTCTTCACATCAGGTGGCCAAAGTATTGGAATTTCAGCTTTGGCAACAGTCCCTCCAATGAATATTCATGACTGATTTCCTTTAGGATGGATTTGTTGTGGTCCAAGGGACTCTCAAGAGTCTTCTCCAACACCACAGTTCAAAAACATCAATTCTTCAGCGCTCAGCTTTATAGTCCAACTCTCATATCCATACATGACTACTGGAAAAACTATAGCTTTGACTAGATGGACCTTTGTTGGCAAAATAATGTCTCTGATTTTTAATATGCTGTCCAGGTTGGTCATAGCTTTTCTTCCAAGGAGCAAGCATCTTTTAATTTCATGGCTGCAGTTACCATCTGCAGTGATTTTGGAGCCTCCCCAAATAAAGTCTCTCACTGTTTTCATTGTTTCCCCATCTATCTGCCATCAAGTGATTGGACAAGATACCATGATCTTAGTAACAACTATGGAAATAGAGAGAGACAGTTTAATAACATAATAAAAGAGATAATGGGGCTTCCTTGGTGGCTCAGTGTTAAGGAACCTGCTTGCCAATGCAGGAAACACAGGTTTGATCCCTGGGTCTGGAAGAGCCCCTGGAGAAGGAAATGGCAAGCCCCTCCAGTATTCTTGCCTGGGAAATCCCATGGACAGAGGAGCCTGGTGGGCTATGGTCCATGATAATGCAAGAGTCAGACATGACTTAGCAATAAACAACAACAAAGGAAATAATAAAGCAGAGATTAAGGAGAGCCTAACTGTCTCTGTGTCTTATCTAGTCTCTATGAATTCTTCATGTGGTCACTTAAACCATTTGCCAACATGCATACTGATGATTCTGAGATGTACAAGATGACATTTTGAAAACCATGGCAGGTGAATGTTTAGCTACAGAGTGACACGCTGAAATTGGAGGGTCGGATCCCTGAGGAACATGGAAGACGTGGCATCAACAGAGTCAAGGAAGAGAGGTGATCTGAGGTCCACGCTGGGCTTTTCCATCTTGGAGACCTGGGAAGATAAAACAGTACTTCGATTAAGGTGGGTAGTGGAAATGGGTTACTCCAAGAGAGGAAAAACTGAACCGAGCAGCTAAATTGCCGACAAGAGACTCAGCTGCAAGGAGGAAGGTGAACTGGTTGCGGTGCATGGGGGGCCGGCTGGGGTGGGGACGCAGGGCTGAGGGACCGAGGGATGGACCGGAGCCGGGAGGCGGGTGGGAGGAGCCAGGTGCGGCCCCGCCTCCTTCTGCCGTCTCCTGGGCTGGCCTGGGCCCGCCCCTCCTCACTCACATCACCTGATAGGAGGAAGCAGGTGGAGCCTGGAGGTGGAGCTGGAGCGGGCTCCCTGCCTGTGTTTCGTTTTCAGGAAAGGTCTGTGTGTCTGTAGAGGAAGTGACTCTTCCCGATGAAGGAACCATTTCTGGAAAGGGATACAGGTGAAAGAGAGAAAGAAAGAAAGAAGGGAGGAGAGAAAAGAAAGAAAAGGGCCTTCCTTTCCCCTATTCTCAAGGGGAGTCCATTCATTCATGGACCATATTTATTAAATTGAAAAAGCCTCACTTTCATTTTCTTCCTATAACCGCCGTGTTTACTGACTGCTGATTTTATTGCCACAAAACTCTCTGCCAGCCACAACATACTTGTTTTCTCCGGCACTGGGGGAATGCAAGAAGGATGTTTAGGTTGAACCCGCCTCCCCTGCAAGTTTATTGATTGATTTATTTATTTTTACTTTTGGCTCATTAGAAAAGACCCTGATGCTGGGAAAGATCGAAGACAGGAGGAGAAGGGGGCGACAGAGGATGAGATGGTTGGATGGCATCACCGACTCGACGTCAGTTGGAGCAAGCCCTGGGAGTTGGTGATGGACAGAGAGGCCTGTCATGCTGCGGTTCATGGGGTTGCAAAGAGTCAGTCTTGACTGAGTGACTGAACTGAACTGATTTTTGGCTGTGCTGGGCCCTTGTTGCTGTGCAGGCTTCTCTCTAGTTGCAGCGAGCAGGGCCTCTTCTCTTGTCCAGGAGCACCGGCTCCAGGGTGTGTGGGCCTCAGAAGTTGTGGCTCCCAAGCTCTAGAGCACAGGCTAGGGAGTTGTGTGGCATAGGCTTGTTTGCTCCAGGCATGTGGGGTCTTCCCGGGTCAAACCTGTGTCAGATGGAGTTTTTACCACACAGCCAACCAGAAGCATTCCTGCCAGTTTTATGTTTGAAAAATGATAGAACATCCTGATAACTGAAGGTTTCATAAAATGTACAAAGAACCCAAATGGCTTTGGACCTCTTGACCACAGTTCCACAAACAGCAGATGGTGGAGCAAGACTTCCAACAATCAGAGGGGAAATTATTTCTGTTCTAGATTTCCATATCCAACCAAGTTATCAGCTAAGTATGTGCAGCAGTGGGAAAAAGAATGCTTTGGGACACACAAATTCTCAAAAAACTTGTCTCCCAGGCACTTCTCAGTAAAGTAGGTGGAAGATGTGTGCGATCAAAATGAGGGAGTAAACTAAGAGAGGGAAAGACATGGGAATCCAGAACACAGGGTCCTGCCAACACTCAACAGGCAACGGGGACCCTTAGCGGGAGGATGGGACTTCCCCTCAACAGTGGAGGAGCAGGTCTGCAGACCAGTGGACCCAAATTAGAGCAAGTCAGAAAATTCCAGGAAGGATTTCTCCCTTTCTTTCTCTTGCTAGCTCCTTTTTTAAAAAATATTTTGAGGCTGCAATATCTTTTTGGGAAAAAAAATTGTAATTAAAAGTATTTGTAATTAAAAGTGTTGAGATGTAATTGACACAGAACATTATATTAGTTTCAGGCATCTAACATAATGATTCAATATTTGTATATGCTCTGAAATGATCGCTGCACATAGTAGGTCTAGTTAACATCTGTCACGGTACATAGCTACAAAAACAATTTTTTTTCTTGTGATCAGGACTTTTACTTTTTTATCAACTTTTTAAATTGCAGTATAGTTGATTTATAGTATTAGTTTCAGGTATATAGCAACGCCGTGATTCAGTTATATATATGTGTGTGTTTTGGGGATTCTTTTTCATTATAAGTTCGTATAAGATAATGAATGTAGTTTCCTGTGCCATAGATCCTGTTGCTTATTTGTTTTATGTATAGCGGTGTGTTATCTGTAATTCCCACTGTTATTGTTGTTCAGTTGCTAAGTGTCCGACTCTTTGCGAACCCAGTCCACCAGGCTTCCCTGTCATCCACCCAGGTCCATTGAGCCGGTGATGCCATCCAACCGCCTCATCCTCTGTCACCCGCTTCACACTCCTAATTTATTACCCCTCCTTCCCCTTTGGTAGCCGTAAGTTTGTCTTCCATGTATGAGGACCGTCTCTGTGTGAGAAGATGGGAGAATTCTGGAGCTGGATGCTGGTGCTAGTCGAACATCTTTGTGAATGTACTAAATGCCACTGAACTATACACTTAAAAAATGGTTTAAAGGGTGAATTTTATGTTACTGTATTTTTAAATGATTTTTAAAATAAAAAACTATAATTGCTGCACAAATGAATTGAGTTATAATTATTTTTCACATACTGATAAATATCAGACTTTTAAGACTCAAGTATTAAAGGACCTCACTTTTATTTTCAAAACCATGTACAAAGGCTACATTTTTCTTTTAAAATTGCACGTTTATTTAAAAGATCTATGACTAGAAATGTATATTGTAACAAATAGATCTTTCAGTGATAACATCTATGTTTTAAGTTTATATGTCTTGTAATCATATTTTTAATGTAAAAAATCTTACCATTTTTAATGTAAAAAATTATAATTTAAATTTAAAAATCTGACCATATGACTTAAAAATTGCTTTTTTACTTGACATTTTCCCTTCAGTCTATGCAAGCACTCTCATTTTCTTCAAACTTTTAAAAAATTTTAGATTTACACAACCATTTTCTTAACATTTATTTTTAATGATAACTCTGAGATCAAAGTGTATTTAATATTAATGTAAGTGCCTCTTACAAGTCAAGTCCCTCTGTAGTTGAAAAGGAGGTTTTAAAACCCTCCTTTTGTGTATTACATATTTTCTCAGGAATACATTAAATAGGAATACTGACTTTTGTTTTAGGAATACAGTAATTTGGATTTTAAATTGAGAGATTATTTTTTGCCTTATTCAGTAAAGAAAAACAAAAGCTTGTTCAGAGATGACAGATGACATCTCTTCTGAGGGCCAGGGTGGGAACAGACTCCAGATGCTTTGCTGGATCCCACCCGGAGCCAAATGGTAAGTGGTTACAACTCCCAAAGGGCCGTCAGACAGGTTTCACGGGAATGACGCGTAGCTCTCCACACCCGCCTCTGCAAGACAGAACAGCTTCAGGGGTTGCTGAAACTGCCTCAGAACTGCGCTATAACTTTTTCCTCAGTGTGAAACGTTTCTGGCTGATGTCAGCAAGGTTTAAATGTTTCAGGTTAAATTCTGCAAATCAGTAAAAAGAAAAGCACAAATTAAGTTAGACTGGATGTCAAGGGCACTGATTTATGGCAGTAGAAACACTCCTCCATAGTCTCCTCTCGATTATGGATGACTTTTTGTTGAGCCCAGCTCTTGCTAAAGGGAAGCCAGGGCTAAGGAAGGATCGCTGGGAAGACCCTCCAAGCACTTCCCTGCATCCCTCGGGGCAGGACTGTTTCCCTAACACGCCTTTGGGGATGGTCATAACCACCTCCCTTGGATTGCTCCGTGCTCCAGCCCTGCCTCACCCTCTGTTTCTCATCCACAGGGAATGCTGCTTGCCATTAATGTGAAAGTTCTAGAACAGAGGTGTGTTGTATAGAAAGCTCGAGCAATTGCCCCTTACCACTTTTAAGAAGGCTTTTTAAAACAACAACAAAATAATACCCTTTTAAAAAAAACCCAATACTAACAAGACATTTTAAATGAGGTTGGAAAATGCTCATGACATAATGCTAAATTAAGAAATTGGAAATGAAACCACTATAGTATTGTAAAGTAATTAGCCACCAACTAATATAAATAAATGAAAAAAAGAAAAAAAAGAAATTGGAAATGAATCTGTGTAGGGAATCTGACATTAGTTTGCTTAAAAAAATTATTGGAAAAAAAACTAGAAGGCAATCTAAAAAAATTGTTTAGCTTGATTGCTTTGGTCTCGATTGTATATTTTAGGTGAAATTTTCTTACCTGTTCTATGTTCCCTTCTACTGTTTCTGAGTATCCTACAGCAAACATACACACTGTTATAATCGAATGGTGGGGGAACCCCAACTTTAGACTCATCATTCTAAGCAAGCCTCTTGTTTGATCTGCTAGCAAACTTTCCACTCACATTGAGGTCTGCCCTCACAGGCTGAGAGGGGGGCAAGAAGTGTAAATTCTCATGGCCTCTTTCCACTGTGTACAACCAGGAGTTCGAAGTGTTTCTTCCTGATGTTCTACAATCTTTCCAAGTCTGTGACAAAATTAAACTATCATAAACTTAGATGTTAGGAGAGTCAGTCAAAGCTGAGGATGTTTTTTTATTTCCCTCCCCTAGCTCCTGCTCTATTTAGAGTCCCACTTTCTGTGATTTTGTAATACTACCAGTTGATTTCTGTTTCATATTCTGTCTCCTGCTTTAGCTGCTTTAGTTGTCAACATAATTGAAGACAGGATTTTTAAAAATTTATTTTGTAATATTAATTTTTTAGTTTTAAAATTTTATTGAAATTTTTATTTGAAAAAAAATAAAATTTTATTGAATGCTGCTTTATAATGTTATGTTACTTTCTTCTATACAGCCAAATGACTCAGCTATACATATGTATTCTTTTTCATATTCTTTTCTAGTATAGTTTGTCACAGGACATTGAATGTAGCTCCCTGTGTGTTTTGCTATTATTATTTTAAGGAACTTATTCTTTAAACTTCCTTATGTGGACACTTCTCTCTGCAGCAGAGAAACAAGGTGTATGCAATAAATTCTTCATGATGATAAAGTGATAATGGCTGGCTGGCCTGTGAATGTCTACAGTTTGGAAAGATGATCACTTCAGACAGTAGGTGATATTTGATTTGCCCTAGACTCTACCCAAAGTTAGGTGTCAGATCATTTATGGCTTCATTTCCATTCTGACTTAACGTTGTTAGTGTATGAATCTCTAGTTTCACTTTTCCTAAAAGATGGAGGCTATATTAAAAACCAACAACAGTATAACCAAACCAAAACGAAAATATGCCCTATGACTTGAGGATGTCAGGAAAGACAACCAGTTCACCTATAGGAATATGGTTAAAAATGATGAGTAGTCTTTTTGATGTAGCTTCTGCAAAGCATCATGATTACTTTATCGTCACTGTCTTTCTAAACATCCTATGTCTAGTGTAGGAAAATAACAGTTGATGGTTTTTGGTTTCAAACTAACACCAATCATTGCTCAGAAAGATATTCTTTCATGCCTGATTGGACAGGAATTTTGACCTTGTGGAAAGGGCAGAGACTGGAAACAGAATTCTGACATTTTATGTATTAAGTAACTCAAGGAGACTTAAGCTCTCTGGGACTCACTCTTTCCTGTCACTAACTTGCGGTTTTTGGTTTATAGGCTCTCGTGTTGAGGGAACGCGGTGGGTAGGACTGTGATCCCAGCAGGCTACGGCCAGCCTGGCCCCACCACGACCCGGCCAGCTGCTGGCTCTCCTCACAGGGTTTCTTTGACAGAGAGAGCTCTGAGGCTCTCAAAGTTTTGAAAGCACCTGGGATAAACGTTCTTCAAAGCAGATTTCATTTCTGAAATCCTCTGTGGAATATACATTTTGAATTCTTTCAGTAAAGGCTGAGTGTTGCTGTTGTTTAGTCGCTGAGTCATGGCCAACTCTTTGCGACCCCAGGGACTGCAGCAGGCCAGGCTCCTCTGTCCTCCACTGTCTCCTGGAGTTTGCTTAAATCCACATCCACTGAATTGGTGATACTGAGCAGCTATTCATAATTTTCTTCATGGAGTTATTAGCACATTATATATCCGTGTGGTGCTGATGGCTGATAACAGGGCTTATTATCTGTATCTTGACTCTGTAGACCTTTGAGTAAGCATTCCAGCCCCAGTATGGTAGAACAGTAGTCCCTCACAAGTGTAAGCTTAGAAAACTCCTTTGAGAGCGTATTTTGAAGGCTAGCTTATTTGGCCCCTGTGTCCGATTCAGCGACTGTATGCTTGCCCAGGAAAATTAATGTGAGTTATTGTTTAGCTTGGTGGGTTAGAAGTCACTTGGCCAAGGTTGTAGATGTCTTCTATGGAGCCATACCTGTGCATGTCATCAGCCATGCCTTTAACTTGCAGCCTCCTGATCTTGCAACCTTGGGCTCTTAATGAAAGAAGATTAGGCAGGAAAGGACAGATGAATCTCCAGGATCTGTGCTATCCAGCTAAAGAGAGTCAAAAAACATGCTCAAAACATGCAATTTATCAGATACCATCTGTCCCCAAACCAAGGGGCAAGTCCTCGGTACAGAAACAGAAAGTGTATTTGAGATGTTTCTCTCAGCTCTGCAATTTCTGAAAAGTTAATCCCCCTCCTCTGGCAAAAACGAAAAACCACTACAAACAGAAAAATTCTTCTGTTCCCGGAAACTTGAACCAAGGAAAATAGAGTTCTGGGCTAATTTATATATTTCACAAACATTTTCCCATTTCTGAAATGGAATTTCTGTGGGTTTATGAGACTGCTTTCTTCATTTAAAGCTTTGAATAGCTTCAACAACTTTAGGAGAGATTGGTCTTATTTTTTATAATACTGAGAACACAGATTTATGATTTCTGGAGGAGTCTAACTTATTCATAAAAATGGAAAAATAAGATAGTTTTATATATATATACACACACACAATTCCAATCCTAGTTTCTGTAGTTCTAATTTGTTAAACAATTCTCCTTCCCTGGGAATTCCCCAGGGGTCCAGTTAGGACTTGGCGCTTTCACTGCCGGTATCCGGGTTTGATCCCTGCTCAGGGAACTAAGATCTTTCAGGCCTCATGATGAGGCCAAAAAAAGAAGAAAAGGATACTACTTCTGTGGCAGGCAGGAAGAACAGCTATTTTAACTCACAAGTTGTAAATCTTTTCTGTGGTAAAGGATTATCATTTATCCCCAAAGAGATAGGAGATAGTTCCCATGGGATTTTGAGCTAGTAAATGGTTCCACTTAATCTCATTGAAATCAAGGGGCTCTGTTTCATTTAAAAAATATGTTCAGGATACGACTGATGCCTCTTTCCTAACCGCAAGGTCATTTTTAAGGTCGGCTAGAGAGAAAGTGACTTGTCAGTGATGTGTCTCTAACAGTACAAGGGGACCTATCTACAAGTGGAAGGGAAAAAATAGCTGACCTTACTCAGGTCAGCTAGTGAGGACTGTGCCAGACATTGGATTCTAAACTTCAGCAACCTAGTTGTAAGAAAAAAAGCTACTTTTTAACCCCTTTCCTGTGCCCCAGAAATTCTGAAGACATACCATGTAACAGCAGACCTAATATTGTATTGCAATTATTTGTTTTCCTGCTGCAGATGAAATCCTACCGTGAGTGACCAGCAGTGAGCCTACAGTAGATGCTTCATAACTGCTTTCTAAATGTGTGCGTGTGTGTGTTCATGTTAGTCTCTCAGTCGTGTCCGACTCTTTGCCACCCCATAGACTGTAACCCCCCAGGCTTCTCTGTCCATGGGATTCTCCAGGCAAGAATACTGCAGTGGGTTGCCATGGCCTCCTCCAGGCGACCTTGCCCATCCAGGGATTGAACCCACATCTCTTGTGTCTCCTGCTTTGGCAGGCGGGTTCTTCACCACTGTGCCATAGACTACCCAGTGTGAATTCTGAGAGGGACCTCCCCCACTACCCTGCCTCCCCCCCTGCAGTTGAGCAGAGGTGGGAGCTGGTTCACAGATGAGTATTGTGGTTAAGGAGACTTCTACTGTGACCTTCTTACTATACATTATTGGAATAAAGAAATCCCTGAATTTTTAACATTGAAGTTTTACTATAATGTTTTTGAGGACAGTCTGTGTGTTTTCCACAGTCTAGCATTGGCCCTTTCATATAAGAGGTTATACCTATTTGATGAATAATGAGGTACATAGAGGTATTTTATACATTATGGGCTGATACCCTGGAAAGGTTTCTCCCCTCCCACCCATGGATATCAGCCACTTGTACTGATGCTGACTTCCAGCCACTGATTCAGTTTCAGAAGAAACACTGTTCTTGTCACTATGTGTGTGTGCTCACTCAGTTGTGTCTGACTCTTTTGCGACCCCATGGACTGCAGTCTGCCAGGCTTCACTGTCCATGGAATTTTCCAGGCAAGAATACTGGAGCAGGTTGCCATTTCCTTCTCCAGGGGAATGTTCTTGTCTATATATCTGTGTTTGTGAAATCTTTTGAACACTATCACATTTGCCTTTATTAGAAAAGGAAATTGAGAAAATGTTGGGAATTACTGAGTGTGCTAACAGTGGTAAACTTTTATTTCATGATATCTTTAACTGCTTGGACTTAAGGCTGGTGAACTCTGCAGTTCATGGTGGAGAAAAAGGATATGCTGTCCAAGATTTGTGCCTAAAAATTGAGGGGAAATTTAGAGTGCTATAAAATGGGATCTTTAGAGAACTTCCATTCTCTTTACAACAGGCAAATATACATGCAAAGATAGTTTGATTTTTGTTCTTTTCAGTTTATACATATACATACAAATATAGTTTCAGTTTATACGTGTACATACAAATACAGTTTGGTTTTTGTTCTTTTCAGTTGATAAACACTGCAGAAATATATTGTATAAGAAGATGCGTTAACTGTCATTGTTTAGAGAGATGACAAGTATTTATTATAAAGATCTTTAAATGGTGTTTATTACAGAGTAACTGAACACTGTTTCTGAAGTATAAAAACAGCCTTTTATGGACGGTGTGACAGAGGCCGCGGTGTGGGTCACACTCAGGTACTAACTGGGAGGGGCCCTAGATCAAGTCGCTGGAATGTTCTGCCTTACTCATCTGTAGCCAGTGGACAATCTCTGTCCAGGGTTCTCTGCTGCTCTCAGCGAGGCTGAAGGTCCCTGGCTTGTGGGAAAAACTGTTTCTAAAAGGATGGGTCCAGGGAGCTGCTGCCCAGGGGCGCGCAAGACAGGAGTGGTCCCCGAGTTCTTTTATAAAATTTGGAAATTTGGTCTCAGGGTGGCAGTCTTTGCAATTTCTCGTTTAAGATGACTGATCATCATCAGGCAGAATGAAAGAAACTGCAATTTATAGTTTCACGGTGCCCTATGGAAACCGTAGTGTTTTCCTTTTTATCGTCATACCAAAGAAATTATTTACGGTGAAGACTTCCCCGGAAAGCAGTGATTCTGGCTAATGACTTGTTTCACGCGTCGGAAAACGGACTTCTTCAATATTCTGAATTACCAGACTAAAAGAAAAATTTTAAAAAGCCTCCAAACAAAACCTCATCATCTACGCGTTCTCTCCTCAATAGTTCCTAGCCGAGGCTTGGCCCGCACCGTTTCCAGGGATAATCAAAAGTAAATGTTTAATAGGTAACTGCAATCGAATGACTTATATTTTTCAGCTTATTTCCGCCCCGGGGCCGTAAAATCCTCAAAAAAGGGGAGGGGGGCGTCTCCCTCCCCGCCACTCCAGCTCGGGGCGGCGCGCACGCCCTGCCCTCGGCCCGCCGCGCGCCCCGGGCGCTCGGGTCCCGGGCCCCCGCCCTGTCGAGTTACTCAGGCCCCGCGCGCAGGGCGGAGCGGCGGGCCGGCGGCGCAGGTGGGGAGGGGCGGCCGGGGCGCGTCGGTGACACCCGCGGGGGGGCGGGGAGGCGCGGCGGCCGCACCCCGTCCTGGGAAGAAACCGGCCAGGTGTGGCTTCGGCGCCCGGCGCCAGCGGGGAGGAGACTCGCGCCCCCGCCGACCAACACCACCACCCGCCCGCGACCCGGCTCCTCTGCGCCCGCGCCGCGCTGCGAGCCGCAGCTCCCGCTCCCGGTCCGTCCCCGGCGCCCGACCCCCGCCCGCCTGCCGCGCTCGCAGCGGCCGGGCCGGCCCCAGTGGAGAGGCGCGTCCTCGCGATCCTTCTGCGTCCCCGGCTCAGCCCCGGCGTGGGGCTTCTCCCTGGAGCCCCTAGCCCTCTCCGAGCCGGCCGGCCCTCGCGTCCGCCCCGGCGCTGAGCGGCACCCCGAGTACCCGCCGACATGAGCTGCAACGGAGGCTCGCACCCGCGCATCAACACGCTGGGCCGCATGACCCGCGCCGAGTCCGGCCCAGACCTGCGCTACGAGATGACCTGCGGCGGGGTCGGCGGGGGCGGCGGCGGCGGCGGCGGAGGCACCAGCCGGATGTTCTACTCGCGGCGCTGCACGGTCACCGACCAGAACTCGGACGGCTACGGGTGGGTATCGGGCCGGCCCAGGGCGCGCGGGTGCGCGGCCGGGGCCTCCACCCTCCCCTGGTACCCTGGGAGCGGGAGGGACCCGTGACCGACGGGGAAACTCAGGTCCCGAAATGGGACGGTCGGTCAGTCCGAGGTCCTGTGCACATTTCTCGCTCGCGCTGGGGCCGGATCGGCTGTCCAGCGCGCGCAGCGCCGACCGGGGTGGGCGCGTGCGCCCGGGGAAGGGAGCCGTTCCTATGTGTTTGAGGCCGGCCGGCGAGGCGCCGGGGTCCCGGCTGCCCCCAGGACTATCCCTAGCGCGGCGTCGCCTTAGTCTAGGGCCGCAGATGGGTGGTCAGGAGGACGGGGCTGCGACCCCCAAAGCAAACTTCTCTAACTGTAACCAAAAGTAAATCAGTACAGAAGCGGGGGCTCCGGCCTGCGGGTTGGCCGGGATGGTGAACTCGGCGGGCGCTACTGCTCATCGCCAACTTGTGGTCACCCCGAGACCCCGTCCGGAGCGGCGCCTGGGCAGCTCGGCCACCCGGGGGGCTTTTGTGTAGAGGCTGCGCGTCCCGGTCGCTCGAGGTCCCGGGTCGAGAAGGCTTCGCCTCATCGGCCTCTCCTGCTACCTAGACCAAGTTTCCTGGCGGGGGCGGCGGCCTCTTTCCGCGCCCCCAGGCCCCAGAGCCCGAATCGGCCGCGCCGCAGCCCCGGCCGGGAAGCACACCTGTGGCTCCGCGCCTGCGCCCTTTGTTTCCTGGTTTTTAAAATGCACCCGAGAAACAACTTCGGTGTCCGGGTGGCGGGGGGCGGGCGCAGACTCCTGCGCTGGGAGCCGGGGCGCCGCGTCTCACCCCCGCCGACCCGCCACGCAGGGGGTGCCCCGGTCCGGGTGCCTCGGGGAGGGCCGTGGGAAGAGGGCCAGGTCTGCCTCCGAGTCAGCGGGGAAATCAGCGAGGGGGTCACTCGGTTGGGGGCGGAGAAAGATAACAAACTTACATTTACCCGGTTCCTGGAGCCGGGGTCGCCCACGTGAATCGTGAGAATTTCTCGGCCCTCACCCGCCTTTCCGCCCCCTGCAAGTCCTTGCCTTGTAGGGCTTTGGGGGAAAGAGGCCTGGGTTCCAGGACTTTGCCGACCTTGCCTTGTGGCCTTAGGCTGGGGAGGAGCAAATTGAATCCACTCCCGGGGGTTTTGTTTTGCCAGCAGTTTTGGAGGCGGGACGGACTCGAGTTGCAACGTGCTTTCTGCTTAGATTTATTCATTTCTTTATCTTCCCGGAGCATCTTGAAATTTTATTTTCCCTTTTTGAGTTACCAAAGAATCGTCTCAATCTTGGCGCTCTTTCTTTTCTTACTAATTTTCTTTTAAAAGTTTGGATGCAGCTCTTTCTTTAATGAGCAAAATGCGCCTGGGGGTTTCCAGGAAGAATGTGCCAAGCCACTGGGAGGCTGGGAAGAAGCTTTTGCTCATTTTCACTTTGGTTTTTAAGTTAGTTTGAAAACTTGGCCAACCATTTAAATCCAAAACTTTACTTTTCCCTCCAAGTCGTCCAGTATTTGGGAAGCATGTGCTTTTAAATCCATCCATGCTTTTAAAGCCATTTAAACCCAAGTCAGAATTAGCAAGGCCACTTCTTTCCTGCATTTTATGAACCAAGTTGTTTTTCTTCTTTTTTTAATGCTCCTGTTATCCTATGTTTTAAATTGACAATACGGGTTTTTGTTAATGGACTATTTCACTCCCTTGGCTTCTTGTAGAAGTAAATTTGTAATTAATATCTTCGTTAATGAACTGCATAAAAAGACACCTGGTTTTTAAGAATTCTTCACCGAAACCTTTCAGCGAGGTTCAGTGTTTTCGCATAGTAGAGCATCATTTGTGTGTGTTCGGTTTTTCCAAGTCGAAGGCTGTTTGTAAATCTCAAGTTTTACATCTCTGCGGGAAGGGAAAACTGACTCAAGTGAAAAATGACCTAACTTGGAGGGAGGTGGTTTTTCTGCTCTTTGCTGTGGAGCTGCTGACCGAGGGGCAGCAGGGAGGTGAGGGGCTGAGTGGGGGGCCTCAGTCGGCATGTGGCCGTGGGTCTACGTGGATCCAGGGACTGGAGTTTCCCCTGGCCTGCCGCTGCCTGGCGGGTGCTGTTGCCTTTAGAGGCCAAGCGTTATTAGCCACACACAAAAGCCCACAGAAGCCAAGGTCTGCATTTTATTAAAACCGAGACTGACTGCAGTGGGTACCTGCACACACCGCACCTGTTTTCCAGGGCTTTTTTTTTTTTTTTTTTTTTTTCGGTTCCTGGCAGGGACTTTGCAGAAGCAAGATGCCATCTCTCACCCACCTGCCCTCTGCCAGATGAATGTTGAGGAAGGATTTAAAAAGCACTTTAGTGACCGGAAGTTTTTCTAAATTGAGGTGCTTTGTTTTTAAAGCAAAAAACAAAAGAAAAACAAAAAGAAGCCCCCCCCCCCAAAAAAAAAAAACCAGTATGAGAGCGACTGGTTGAATCTAAACTCCTTTGTTTCTGAAGCTCCCACTTTATTGACTGAATTGGATTGGTGGTGGTTTTTTTTTTGCATGATCAATGTTTGCATGTAGCCTTTTCCTAAATGCATTGATTTGAGTGTGAACAGAGCCCAAATCTTATTTTTCCTTTGAGAGTGGCTTCACAGTCTCTTGCCTTGTCGGTCCTTTTCTTAGTAACACTTGTCACTGTTTAGGACCTGACTGTTCTCACTCTGACAATCCCTCCTTCCCTCGTTGTCTTTTTCATCTTTGTTTTAGACTGCATGGAATCTGCAACGACTTTATTTACTTCTGCTGCTCTAACTTAATATTTTCAAGTTTAGTGCATATTACATGTTTAATAATTACAGAGGTTTATTTTTGAAAACTTAAACATTGGATTTTTCCAGTGTAGGACGTTACTATTTTCAATGAAGGCAGAATTGCTCTAGTCGTTCTCCTGTAAAAATCACAAATCTGTAGTGAGATTTAGTGGCCAAGTAACCAAGTCCTCCAGTGAGATCTTCTGCTGATGAAAGTGTGGAATTTGTAGGAGGATAGCCAGCCAAACACGGTCGCTAAGGTTTTCCTGGTGAAGACTCCTCCCGCCGTGCGGGAGGCCTGGGTTCGTTCCCTGGGTTGGGAGGATCCCCTGGAAGAGGGAACGGCTACCCACTCCATCTGGCCTGGGGAATTCCATGGACTCTGTAGTCCATGGCGTTGCAAAGAGTCGGACACGTCTGAGCGGCTTTCACTTCACACTCACTAAGCCACAGAAAAATGTGCATAAAACGGTAATGCTTTTCTCCAGAACTCAGCGATTTCCAAACCGGAACGTGTGTGGTCACTGCTGCGCTGTGCTCTGTCGCTCTGTTCTGTCTGACTCTTCGCGACCCCATGGACTGGAGCCTGCCAGGCTCCTCTGTCCGTGGGGTTCTCCAGGCATTGCAGGCGGATTCTTTACTGTCTGAGGGAAGGGAAGCCTCCCTACTTGATAGCTATTTTATTTTGTTTTATTTTTTTGATACCTATTTTAACTACCTTTTAAAAGAAGCCTGTTTCTTAGCATGAGATGAAACAGGCATATTTACATTTAATTTTAGAGTGGGAAGGGGATGCTAGGGAGGACATAAGCCTCACTTTCCCACTTGAGAGACAAAGAGATTAAGACTTGCCCCGAATCCCAGAGTCCACTCAGGGCTCGTCCGCCTGCCCTCTGCCCTCTTGTACCTTCAGGCTGGGTGCTGAAGTGTAGGAGACTGGACAGGCCTGTCCTTCCAGGATGAAAGCTCGAGTGCATGTATTTGTCCCCTCAGCCAATACTTCCTGGGCATCTGCTGTGTGTTAGGTGTCAGGCAGATTCAAAGGTGGAGATACAAAGACTTCTGGAAGGGAGCAGATGCTCCTTAAGGGAAGATAAGGACATAAGTACTCTGTTACACCGGAGGGGCGCCGGTGACTCAGGCTTCATAAGGGACATGATAGCATCTATATTGGCGGCACTTGGAAGACTTGATTATTAAGGCAGTGGTTGAATTGGACTTTGGGGAATTTCAGCTGGTAAAGACAGGTGGGCAGAGTGCTCCAGCGGGAGGGAAGAACAGGAGAAAAATGTGAGAGGTGGAAAACCGGGAGCAAGTTCAAGGGCTAGAGAGTGGTGGTCTCCTGATGGAGCATTTGCTGAAGTGGGGAAATAGTAAAGAGGTAGGAGGAGGCTCTGCTGGGACAGAGCCAGGGAGACCTTGACTCCGTGGTGGGGGGTTTGGGTAGGCACAGGAGACCCACTTCAGGTTTCATCCAAGCCAGCCAAGATCTCTGTTGAAGGAGCAGGGAGATGAGACCTTCCCAGAGCGCTCTAGGACTGTTTTCATGGCAGCACTGTTTCGGGGGGTGGGGGTTGCCTTAAGGAAGCAGTTGTACCGGTGAAGGGGGGAGGTGATGAAAGTCTGGTCCAGTTTGGTGGCAGTGGGACAGGAGGTGGATATGACGGAGTGGCAGCTTCAGCTGAGAGTTGGATCAGAGAGGCAGGGGAGAATCTGAGAAAACAGGCTCAGGGGTGGGTGACTCATAGAACGGTCATTCTAAATGTTTTTCTGGGAAATGATGGCAAAGTAAGATTCAGTGTCGCTTCATATAAGGCAGATGATACCACTTACATAGTGATTAAGTTTAAGTAATATATTTGATACAAATATCAGACCTGGGTTAATAGTAGTTACATCATCACAGGGCAAACACCCACAATA